CACATAAAATAAAAAATTTATATCTTTATGTTTGAAGCCTGAAATGTGGCAAAAGGTTGAAAAGTTCAAGGGGGCCGAATACTTTCGCAAGGCACTGTACCTACTGCTGTAAAGTCAAGAGCTTTCAGTGTCCATTGTTTCACAGTTTACTGAAAGATCAAAAAATTATAATATTGAAAATATAATATTAAAAGATCAATTATGATCAAAACATTTCATTAAGAAAGAGCTGGTGTAACTGGAACAGAGGTTTTGAAAGGAATGTTGTACATGAAGGCAGAGAGCGACACTAGCTGACTGTTTTTTGGTGTGGAAGACTAGTCATTCTATACCCACAGAATAATTTAAGCTTTTCAGGCAGAAAAGCGAAAATAAGATATACAGGGGTTGGACAAAATAACAGAAACACCACATGAAAAGGTTTAAATTTGAAGTAACTAAATCACAATTACAAATGCAGCTCCAAAGATGAGTCATATTAGGTTGATTGCCAATTAGCAGTTTGTGTCAGCTATAAATGAGGTCTGACAATTAGCACTTTGATATGTGAGTTTTCAAAGCAATATGAGGAAACTAACAGTGCTCCAAAGAGGCCAAATAGTCGTTGCTCGAATTGCAGGTACATTGGTCACAAAAACTGCAAAATTATTTAATGTGTCAAGGGGAATAGTCTCAAAAGTAATGACAGCACATGCCAAACATGGACAAACTGCATCGGCAAAGAGGAACAGTGGTCGCAAGTCAAAGCTCAACGACAGGAAGAGATGGACACTTCACAGGAAAGTGGCTAAATGCCACAAAAGTACAGCCTCAAAAACTACCACAGAATTGAATCAGCACCTCTGTGACCCAGTCTCAACAAAACTGTACGTTGTGAGCTTCACAAAGCTGCAATTTATGGCAGGGCTGGCATTCGGAAACCATCTGTATCCAAGGCCAACGCACAAAGACGCATAACCTGGTGTAAGGAGCACAAAACCTGGACCCCTGAGAAATTGAAAAAAGTAATATGGTCTGATAAGTCATCTTTCACCCTATTTCCTACATCCAGTTTATGTTAGGAGAAAGCCAAAGGATGCCTTCAACCCACAATGTCTGTTGCCAACTGTTAAACATGGTGGGGGATCCATAATGGTATGGGCAGCTATCTTGTGGGAGTCATTAGGTCTGATGATTGCTCTGCATGGTTGTATAACAACCAAGGAATACGAGGCCATTTTACAGGACCAGGTGCACCCTATGGTGCAAACACTGTTCCCTCTTGATTTTCCCATATTCCAGGATGATAATGCCCCATACACACTGCTAAACAAATTCAAAAGTGGTTTCACGAACACCAGGATGAAGTCAAACGCCTTCCATGGCCTCCCCAATCACTAGATCTAAAAATTATTGAACCGTTATGGGAAGTACTGGAGCACAGAGTGGAATGAAGATTTCCACCTCCTTCATCCCTCAAAGAACAGGCTTTTCTTCTTGAAGAATGGTACAATATAAGACCACTCACAGTGCAGGACTTATATGGCAGCATTCCAAGAAGGACTGAAGCTGTTCTGAAGGCAAAGGGTGGCCCTACTCCTTATAAGTTCCTTAATATTAATATATTGTTAGGTTTTTTCTGTTATTTTGTCCACTCCCTGTATGTTCCCTGGGCATCAGTCACCCTGTCATGATGGCTATTGAATACATATACAAAAAGAATGTTTGAAAACTGGAAAAATGTTGACATGTGTTGAATAATGTGCAAGAGATACAGCAAAATCTTGTCTGTGATTGGCTAAATCTGAATAAGGCTGTAATACTGCATCTCACTGATTCAATTTCCTCATGTTTTGAAGCACTCTATGATGCCAAAGGACAAGCTAAAAGTACAGACCATGTTAAGTTAATTATTTTTCCCTGCATTGTTAAAGTAAAGGCAGTTCATAATCAAGAGTATATGTTTTATAATTGAAACATACTGTGAAGTCATCTCCATTTATTCACTTTTACTATAAAATGCTTACTCACATAAACCAAGAACTTCAACTTCCTTTTCAGGTTCTTGTACTTTTTCTTATAGTCGGTTTCAATCTCCGGCTGCCCATTCATCTTACCTGAAGGGCAAAACAAACATTTCAGAGAGAACACACGGAAATTGGAAAGACATGAAAGCAATTACAGTCTCTTAGAATTGAGCACAAACTGGGTAAAGCGAATCCTGCATCTAATACTTCATGTTATAGACATCTACACAGCTGCACTGATAACAATTTACACCATATATCTTACGTGAACCAATTTATAAGAAAGTCTTAAAACTTCCATCAATAATTAAGTTTCAATTAACTCTGAGCAGACTATCAAAACAGTAGTTTGTTGGAGATGGAAAGTACTATGTCAGTATAAATGCTAGCAGTAAAGATAGTCCATATACTTTAAAAAAGCTGAGGTTTTTTTTTTGCGCCTCTAAAGTGAAACAAACACTGCACTTGAGCATTAACTACTACGCAGTCTTATTTTTCTGCTCTGATGCCCTGATTTGAATTCCCAGGCTACTACTATAGAGTTTGTATGTTTTCCGTGTGTTTGTATAGGTTTACTCCAGGTGCTCCATTTTCCTCCCACAGCCCAAAAACATTTTAGCAGGTTAAATGGCTTCTGGGAAAATTGGCCCTGGTGATAGTGTGTGTCTGTGTGCAATGGACTGGCATCCTGTCCAGGGTTTATCCTGCATTGCACCCATTGCTTGCAAAGATAGGCTCTGGCTCCCCTACAACATTTTATTGGATAAAGTGGTTAGAAAATGGGTGGACGGATATAAAAATATAACAGCAGGGCATGAAATTCATTTTTAAAAATAAGAGGGAATTACCCCCCTTTAAATGAAGCTCATGTGAGGGATTCCAGCATCTTTGGGGGACCAATAGTAGACTAATGAAACAACTGTATCAAAACAATTAATACACAACCTCAGCTTCACTGCAAATACAGTCCTACATTATTGCTGACCCGTGTTTCGTTGCCAACCTCCTCACCACTGAAGGTACAAGAACTAAAACTATTGATCTTCTTCTGTTTTCTCTTCCTCATTCATGCTTACTCCTCTCCATCTGCCTCAGGTGTTCTCTTTTTAAACTATATATATTATTGTCCTTCTCCTCAGTTTTTCTCTTTCTCATTGATACTTTCTCTTCTCCATCTGCCTTTCTCTTCCATCTTCTCAATCAGGTGTTCTCTGTCTAAACTAAATACTTTATTGTTCTTCTCCTCAGTCTCTCTCAGTTTTTCTCTATCCTCTCTCCTCCTCTTCATTTCTTTCCACTTTATACCTGCACTGTTGAAATTAAACTGTCCTCACAGAGGCCCAAGCCCTGAAATAAGTATTAAATTTGTGACATTTGTATTGTTCAGTGAATTTCTGAACTTTGTTTTTAAGTCTATTTTGTGCACTGAATCAAATGACACACTTGCATCTGATATGACCATGTCTATTTGAAGTAGCTTCTCCATTTCAGTGAACACGCCACTATTCACACTCAACACGGTCTCTGTAAACTGTTAAAACAATAATGAAGCATATGAATCACTGGAGACCATAACTTGCTTCAGCATCGTGAATTCTGACCTAGCTTCCTCTGTACTTACAATAAACTAAAAGTGTTTCAGCAGGTGTTCATGTTTCTCTTTAAGTCTTACATTTCCAGTAGACTGTTTGGCAGCTAAGGCTTTATTTGGTTCCAAAACAGTAAGCAAGGACAGAAGATCCATAGTTTCGGCAGGGAATCATCTATTAATTTTGTCAAATAAACAACCCATGTATCTGCTTTTCATTTTGTCAAACACAGGTCTTTGTATCACAATAAAATTGTCTCTTTAAAGGAACTGAAAAAGTCCTGCCCTGAAGGACCAGGATGGACTAATATCTCTCTCAGTGCCTCTTTAGTACTCTGAACCATAGGTTGGATTGTGGAGAAGTCCAAGTCTTCCCTTGAAAATGCTTTGAGAGAAGGACTACATCTTTCATTAAGTGACAGAGGGCCACAAAATTGAATTGTCTGACATCAATAAAAAGACCTTTGGCTTTATCAGATTCCTGAGTGCCAGAGACAGCCATGTGTTCTAGCTCATCTCTCATCATACAACTGACACTGCATTTTGAATTGACACCCACCTGTACGCGGCAGAGTAAACTTCAGAGTTGGTTCCTCCAATTGTTTCTGCAACTCATGAAGCTTGTTGCTTCTTATAGCGGAGTTGCTGAAAAAAAAAACTGCCCCTAAGTCTTCCTGGAACTTTTTCACTTGTTCCACAGATCTGGCTGCATCACTAGCAGAAAAGGCTCGCCAGTGAGCTGTGCAGTGCAATCAAGTCTGAAATGAGTTCTTCCCAGAGTTTTTGAACAACTCCTTGGCTTCGTCCTGATATAACAACAGCTCCAGCTGTGCATACTGCAAAAAGTTTCCTTCCAATTTAATGATTATTCATTGCTCTATATCCTAAACAATGGTTTCTGTCCTTCCATCTGCATTTCAAAGTTTCTAAAAAACTATTTTTCCTTTGTTTCCATGTATGTACCTTACATAAGTTATTCAGGTGGGTAGCTGCATCAGCATGCGTAGGCTGCAAAGGAACTGCTACTTACTGTTAATTATATCAGTGGACTCATCCAATATTAAGGCAAATATGGGACTTGCCCCTACAACAGCATCTAACTTTTCTGTGTGCTTGCGATAGCTTGATGCATTTCTAACAAACTTTTGTCATTCAGATAGCTTCTTGAGGGAACACTGGCATGTTTAGCTGCCACCCCTCTCACCAGTTTTTCATTGTTTATCTACTTATTTATTTTTCTTCTCAGCAACACTGGTTTCTAATTATTTATTTTTCAACCACTTCACATTATCCGCTTCATGTTGCAATTTACAAATGCGACTTCCACTTGCATTGTGAAATTGCAAAACTGAAGACTTTCACCACCTGCTACTGCCTTCCTCTGGATTTTCCTTCCTCTGGATTTCCTTCCTAACTTCTTCAACTAAAACAAAACTACTTCATGGTAAAAGACACATTTGTTTATTGCCGTATTACTGGGATTTTACAACCGAGTCGCTACATCCATCACAGCACAAGACGCCGTTTCTTTCATTTGTCTGCCAGCGGAGTCTCTATCCCTGCCTTCCGGCGCACGACCATAAGTCCACCTGTACTGGCACCAACCTCAAAAATCTTCTCTTACTACAACACCTGGAGCGCACTCCGCTTTCTCTACCATCAACAGCTTACTAAAGCCAAACTGCCCCACCACATTACCTGCCTCATCACAACTTTGCAAAACATTCTTAGATTTCTTTAGCTCCAAGATCAACAATATCCAGCATTACATTCTCTCCACTACGCATATCACTTCCATACCTCCCCCCTCCTTATTCAACTTTTCTCATTCCCTTCTCTCCAGCTTCTCTCTTCTTGACTCAGCATCCCTCAATAAACTAGTTAAACACATGAAACTCACTACATCTATTTTAGATCCCATTCCCACCATTTTATTTCAGTTCTGTTTCTCTTCTCTCTGTCCCATTGTCCTCAATTTTATAAATGAATCCTTGAGCACTGGCATTGTACCAACAGTCCTCAAAACTGCTGCTATTACTCCTGTGCCAAAAAAGCCTAACATGGCTCTCGACAATCTTAACAATTTTCGCCCCATCTTCAACTTACCCTTTCCTGTTAAAATTCTAGAACGTGCTGTCACATTTCAGTTACATAACCACCTCATGACAAATAACCTTTGCGAACCCCTCCAATCTGGCTTCCATCAACTTCACAGCACAGAAACTGCCCTGATCAAAGTCACTAACGATCTCCTAATAGCTTCTGATTCTGGTTCTCTTTCTATACTCATCCTTCTTGATCTCAGTGCTACTGTTGACCATGACATTTTACTTTCTCATCTTGAGACTGTTTGGAATTTCTGACACTCCTCTCAAATGGTTCAAGTCTTACCTCACTGATCGCTGTCACTTTGTCTCTCTTAATGGGTATAGGTCTGAAATTGGTCTTGTTAGGTCTGGAATTGGTCTTGTTAGGTCTGGTGTTCATCATATACTCAATACTCAATACTGGGCCCCCTGCTCCTCAGCATTTACATGTTTCCACTTGGTCAGCTTTTAAGATTACATGGCCTCAGCTTCTTTTCAGAATGTGCTTCATTATGAGCAACTGCATTTGAGTGTCTAATTAATGTAGACATTTTGTAACACCGGTTAGCAAACCTCACACTACTAAACATGTTGCAAACTAAGCAGCTCATTTCTGTCATTTGAGATTTTTTGTCATTATATTTAAATGAATTGGCATAGGTGGCAATGATATAGCATAGTATTGTCAAGTGGTAGTATCAGGCTGACACTAACACACAAGGGAGTCCTAACACTGACCTAGCCCAGTAATAAAATCATTTCTGAAGCATATTTCAATTCTTATCCTTTAAATTTTTAGATTGCTTAGATGGTTTTTGGACAGGCAAAAGGCATATTATGGATTAGTTCTATTCAAATAAGTGTAAAAGAGCAATGTCTTGACTAAAAAAAAGGGAAAATGTAAATAAGTATTTGACTGATTATGCTGTGTGATGCTGGAATCCAAATTCCAAAATTCTTACAATTCTTTCTGATAATGGATGAAAATATAATATAGAACCTCATTAGCATTTATACAGGTAAGATATAAAAAAATGTCTCAGAAAAAGATGTCTTGGTAAACAATAATAATATTATGCAAAGGAACAAGTAATAGGTTTATTCCATGCTGAAAAAAAGAAGAAAGAGAACACAACGTTTCGGCCGTGGAGCCTTCTTCAGGTGTGTTTTTAACATAATAACAACAACAATAATAATAAAAATAATAATAATAAATTATTGGGTTAGGAATTATCTTTTTGCATACCCCAACTTGCTCTTCATGAGACACACAGCCAGGAAGAGAGCCTGGGGTCAGAGTGCAGGGTCTGCCATTGTTCAGTTGGGGTTAAGGGCCTTGCTCGAGGGCCCAACGGAGTAGGATTCCTCTGCCAGCTGTGGGATTTAAACCGGCAACCTTCTAGCCACAGGCACAGATCCTTAGCCACAGAGCCACCGCTCCACCCCAAAATTCAGCAAGACTACAAAAACCTCTCAATTTTTCTCACTCTGCCTTGTTGCAAACTCAAATTAAAGCATATTTAAATTGTTTAAATGGGATTTTTTTCCACTCCTGTAGAAGTAATTCTGAAAATCTGAAAATTACTTAATTGATAAGTATTCACCCCCTTTGTTTTAACAACCTAATTGGGAGAGGTATTCTATTATCTTGAGAGATCCCACTAAATACGTTAATAAGGTACTCCTGTGTTCATGTCAAATCCACCTGTGTTCAACTGCTTGATCGCACAACAAATACAACTGACTTTGTGTCTCACAACTAAAACAGCAGATCAGATCAGTCCTGCTATCCATGAAGACCAAGGAGCTGCCCTTGGAACTTCGAGATTAAGGAGGAAAAAAGCAGGTTATAAAAAAACTGACAAAGCTTTGAACCTTCCTAGGAGCACCATGAAGTCCATTGTAATAAAATGGAAAAAACATGGCACAACCCAGACACTACTAAGATCAGGCAACAAAATAAAAGAACTCAATATGGACTTCAGGAGACCCAGAGGGGTCTGTAGATCTCCACAGACTTGGCTTGGTCTCACAATACTGTAGCCAGCCTGAAAATGGCACAACAGCACCTGCACTTTCTGCGGCGCTTAAAGAAATGCAGTATGGGGAAGCAGCTGCTCACAAACATTTACCACAGCACCATAGGAATTGTCCTCACTCGTGATGTCACTGTATGGTACAGCAATACTACCATACACGACAAAAGTGCACTACAAACGGGTATTAAAGGCACAGGGACTGTAGGATGTGATTTACCATCAATCAGTGACATTCCCATCTGCTGTTACAATAAAGCCCAATCCATCATCCAAGATCCCAACCATACCTGCCAAAAAAGGTTCTCCCCCCAGCGCTCAAGCAAGCAGCACTGCACCATTAAAGCATGGACTACTAGACTTAAGAACAGTCTCTACCCTCCTGCATCCTAAATAGCTAAGCGCAATGTCTCAAAACTCAATCCGCTTCTACACTATGCATTTTTGAATGGACTACCATGTTTTTTTTCACTACCACATATTTATTATTCTGGTTGTTATTATTTATTATGTTTGTAATGTACTGTTTACAATGTGTAGTGTTTTCTATTGTACTGTGTCTTCTGCTGTCAGCTTCCCTTTTTTACACTGTGCTGTTGGTTTTCATTCCAGCTGAATTCTAAATTATTTTTCCACATAATATAGTATTTTTCAATTGAATAAAATGGTTACGAGTACTGTAACGTCAATTAAAAAACTACTACAGTAGATTAACCTCCACATGGCATTAAACAGATATGTGTTAATGAGCAAACCTCTGATTCAGTGTTTCGTTCATTTGTGTTCTATGAATGTACAGCTGTCTTATTGTTAATTTGTTTACAAATACTGAAATACATTCACTGAATCCCGGAAGGTCAGATAACACAAACAGTATTTCATTTCACAGTATATGCACTGCGTTATCTATCAAACTCGCATTAAAATGGCGATAGTGCTTCAGCGAATAGATTTTATAATCTAATCGCTGTATTATAGATTCTTTAATTTATTGCGACCCATAGAAATTTGAATTTCTATTAGTTGAACACATTAATACTGCAACTATTGGTACACTAAATGCAATCACATTTTAGGCAACTCTGTATGTTCATAATAAAAGCATGTTCACATAAATTCCGCGCACGCTACGACACCTCACAAGAAGTTAACTTCCTACTTTCATTTATTTTGTAAACATGATAGAAATGTAAAATAACAACAGTAACGAACGCTACGAACAGATACAAACCACAAAAAAACATAGAATAAACCTTCCTGTGATTTTCTGTATTTATCTTGATAAAACCTACCATAAAACTGCAGCAGAGACGAGTCAATCGCTTCCAGTATCTTTCGATTGACTTAGCGGAAGTATCACTAAAAGAGAGTTATGGGAAAAGTAGTTTGAAACTTTCAAAATACATTGAGTCCAAATCTGTAGTAGCGTGAACTAGTGACGTGACACGACGAGAACGACCCGGAAGTGTTTGGAAGGGGCCGAAATTCAAAGTTTAAGTCCTTCGGCCACTACGGTGGCTTTGAAGAGTACAGCAACATTAAGCAACAAGCCGCAAAAACACCTGCTTTGTTATTTCTTCCCGGTCACTTGTAATTCCTTTAACATTCTGCTAAATTTTTAAGGGCATTTTTTAATTGTACATCACCTCCACTGGTTCTCAAGTTTGACTAATCTTATTACAATTTTTAAAATTCATTTTGCAGGACGTTTATTCTACAGTATTTCTGTAAATTGGCATTCCTATATTTTGTTTCTTATAAATATGTTTTTTTTTTCCATTCAATGAAAACCTTTTTGAGGTGCAAGCTTTTAAGGGAGCTGTATCAAATATCTGTTTATTGTAATTAAAAACAGATACTTTTTTACATTTTATTACAATCAAAATTTTTAACTATAACTGGGGACAAAAACATATTTTAAGCATCATCATAGTGGTTAAACTTACGATATTGATACACTAAGCCAATAGCAAATCACTTTTCTTCATTCAGTTTTAAGTCTTGACTAATACTGTTGGTCTGTGTAGATCACCTCTAGCCAAACTGTGGATCTGGATGGAGAAAGGTCTCATTTCCAATCAAACTTAAATCTATGACTCTCCAAAAGTGGGTGGAATCTATTGCACAGACCTAGCTAATAGAAAATCACATTATTTTTACAGATAAGTGTCTCTGCCAATGTTGCTGGGGTTTATAGAACACTTCCTGTTCACCGACTAGGACTGGACAATGCTAGACAGGGAAAAGTCACACTTCTGACCAAACAGAAATTTGTGCCTCTCCAGATGTAGCTGAAATCTATCATCCAGACCCACAGCTAATAGAAAATCACCATGGTTTTGTCAGATAAGTAAATGTAAATGTATGATGTACTCCAATATTCTAAGCTTCCCTACCAATCTGTTTGTCTGAACAGTGTTAAATGTTGACAAAAAGTCAGCGAAAAGCATGTGCACATAGAATGATGGAGTTTAAGTGCTTGCACACTTAATTTAACAATTTCACAAAACCTCCTCAGTTCACTCTGTATGCAAACTCTTAGGGGTCCTTGAGCACTCAGGTTGCTTAAAGAAAATGGAACAAATCTATTCATTCAAAACATTTCATTATAACTGCAGTTAATGCTACTTAGACAGAAATCTTTTAATCAAACTGGTTTTGTTTTTTTTAGGAGAAAGTATAATCAAGGTTGTATTCCATGAAACTGTAAATGTGTCCAGTCAATTTTGAGAAAGTTCACAGAATACAGGACTCAGTTGTTTAAGATATTTATGTAAAGTACTGTATTACCTTCCAGTTTGTCAGAGCCCATTGATTTTTTGAGTGTTTGTGAAAACACGTGGCCCATTTGTTCAGACTTCATAGCAAAGGCACTAATAACATGGATATAAATGGGTTCAGCTGGTTCACTACTCTCCAACCAGGTAAAAAAAAAACAACAAAAAAAAGTTAATTTATTATATTTGGTGGGGTGTGCGCTCAAGCAAGCTATTACAGTTTTTCACAGTTGCTAACAAGTGTTTTTCAATACTGAGTTCACTTTTTCAAAACTCTTTACATGGTTAACAGAACAGCCTTCTACGTGGACCAAACCATGAATGATTTTTTCATTGTGAAGAAAGATGTGAAGACGGGGGTTTGAATTTAATCCTTTCTGTAGGGGATTTAGACTTCTAAGTCACAAGCTGGGGTTTATGGCAGGAAAGGGGGTTAACTGATAAGGATTGCAGATGCAAGCTAGGAACCCCC